AGTATACAGCCTTTGATCCAAAGTCACACATACCTGCTCTGTGCAGCATGTTTTTATTCCAGATCTTGGTAATCATTGACTCATCTTGTGGGGCCCCATGGTCTTACACTAACAAATGTGCCTTTCTCCATCCTGCCCACACCTTTAGAAATATTCCCTTTATTAAATTGCCTTCCACTAACTCAAAGGAATGTGCATTCTGTTTCCTGTCACAATCCTGACTAAAAAAAGCAAGTGTAAGTAAATGTTTTCTATTTTGCTGGAGTCTAAAATGTTGATGGAAATAAAGTTACAATATTCTCCTGTCTTTTCATTTACAATCAAAAGTCAGAAAGGGGTTCATGACCTAAAAAGTGCACCATGGAAATTTTTTTTTGTCAAAGCAGATTAATTTTATACCATCTTAAAAATACCACCAGTCTTTAGAATCATCTAACCTCTTTGTAACTGAACAATTTTTTTAGCCTGCTGAACTGTTCTTTTTGAAAGGACATAGATACCATCCAAATTTTTTTCTGGTATCTTTGATTTTAATTGCTTTAGTTTGTTGAGTTAAAGAATATGAATTTGGTGCGATTCTCTGGAGTTTCCTTCAAGAGTTAATTCTTGTTTCTGAGCTAGAAATAACTGGACAAGCAAAACCCGGCCTCATCCAAATCCTTAGCAGATATTTTTCACCCAAGAAACTGCAGAGTTCAGAGAGACGTACTTTCCTGAATGAACGATGATGATGATGGTGGTGGGGAAGTGGAATGGAAGTCCTGTGTAATAACCCTTGATATGTTCTGTACGTGAACACACACACACACACACAAACCACATCAAAACATCCACAAGTAAAACCACAGTGGTGTCCAGTGCCCAGTCAGAACTGACTCTAGCTGGCCCTCCAGTGATTTTCTGAGGCTGGAAATCTTTTTGTTGTCTCCCAGAGCTGGTGGTGGAATTGAACCACCAGAGAGGTGCTGCTTTGGGGTTATCTGAACAGCTTCTGACTATAGTGGCCAGATGTGACTACAGACAGGGTGGACTAGCCAGTCCTTTTCTGCCTCCCCATCACTTGTTAACTCAAGGCCTTTCCTTTTTCTCACCAAGGAGATTGACTTCTACATTGTGATGGAATTTTCTCCACAGTATCTCTCTGGGGCCCTTTACTCTTGTGTCCCTCTGGAATGATAGCATTTTTGGAATGTCAACAATCTGATTGCTGGGGATAATCTTCATTTTTACAGTTGTTGTTTGTTGTTAAGTGGCATCGAGTTATAGATGACTCATAGCGACCCTATGAATCGAAGACCTGAACACTTGTGTAACTTTCAGCGTTTCTCCAGGTTCATAGGGTTTCTGGAGGCAAGCTATTTACAAAGTGGATGCCACTCCTGCTTCCAAGCTTGTGTTAATCGGGGAGCTCCACCACACACTGTCCATTATGGGTAACCATTCTCACATTTGACACATCATTGTCACATTGTCCAGCATCACAGCAACCACGAGTTACCTCTGTACAACAAATGGACAGACCAGTGCTATACCACTTGAAAGAATGTTTGACCAAAAACAATTAAAACCAGGCCTGAGGGACACAGATTAAAATCACCCACCTTTGGATTGGTAGCATTACCTTCTGTCCAGTAGGCCAACTGAGCTCTCTCTGTGTTGTTGTTTTGTTAAGTGCTGTCAAGTCGTAGAGGACTCATCACGACCCTATGAATGAAAGACCTGAACACTTGTATAACTTTCATTGTTTCTCCCAGTTCATAGCGTTTCCATAGATGCAACAAAGCAGACCAACGACTTTTATTCTTGCCTTTTAGTAGATTGTTGCATGGCTTCAAATCAGGCAACGTTCTAAGCCCTAGGGACTCAATGGTGAGAAGGTGTGAGTGACCTGGTCTTCATCCTCTTGGTTCTTTGACTCTAGTGAGGGTGAGATAGGTGGTAAACAGTATCTTTTCAGTTAGTGATAAGTGTTCCGACAAAAAGAAAAGCAGTTGGTAGAGTGATGGGTGGGATATGCTCAGACTACAGGGTCACAGGTGGTTTTTCAGTGGAGGTGACACTTGAAAGCAGAGAAGACAGCTATCTGAAAATGCAGAGGAGAACACTCTGGGTTGAGGAAACATCAAGGGCCAGAGACAGGTAAATATATTTTGGTTTTTTTGAAGGACAACAGGGAGGTGCACCTATTAGCCATGTGTACTATAGACCCACTCATTGTTGAATATGGCAGACTATTTTCTTGGCTCTTGTATTTTTCCTCTTATATTTTTCCATCGTGGACATCCCATCTGTGTTTCTTTGGAACAATTTTGCATTTCTTTTGGGAACAGTAAGACTTAGAAGCGGTTCAAATCCATCAAACTGGAGAAGGAGGGGCAATCTCCTCCTGTGTCTGTCAGATCTGATTAAATGGTATACAACAAGATAAATATTTTTTTAAATGTAACTAAAAAACAAACAAAAAAAACCCACTCAAAACTTGTGTTCTTACAGGTGTTTTAAGTACTAGAAAGGGTTTCCTATTAAAAGTGCACTCTAAGGGAGCTCTGGTGGCCTAGTGGTAAGGAGCTGCAACTACAATCCTAGAGGCGCACAGTTCAAATCCACCAGATGCTCTGCCGGGGAAGGAAGAACAATCTTCTCCTGTACCAGTCAGATCTGATTTGACGGTACACTCACACAAAAATAATAAAATAAAAATTTTTTAAAAAGTGAAACTTTAAAAAAAAAGTGCACTCTGTGGCTAAAACTCATGTAAAGGGTGTGGATGGATGATTTTTTTAAATCCATGGGCAAGCCCAACAATGAATTGAAGTCTCTTGTAAGAATAGAAGTTTTGGGGGTTTTTGTTTGTTTTTTAGTTACTTTTTAAAAAAATTATATATCTTGTTGTGTACCATCTAGTCAGATCTGACAGGCACAGGAGGAAATTGTCCCTCCTTCTCCAGTCTGATGGATTTGAACCACGCACCTATGGGATTACAGTGCAGCTTCTTGCCACTAGGCCACCAGAACTCCCTAGAAAGGAGTTTGTGTGTTAATAGTCTGTAGGGAGATATGCTGCTAACCTAAAGGCAGTACTTCTTTGGCGGTTCGAATCCACCAACAGCTCCAAGAAAGAAGCATAAGCAGTCTTTCCCTCCAGGCCTCCCAAGAACCCCCTGGACGGTCCAGCTGTGAGACAGTTCCGAATGAACAGTAAAGAGTGAACAGGAACAGAAAGATGTGGGCTGTTGACAGTTTTCTCACTGTTTCTACTACACAAAACAAAGAAGAAAAAGAAAAGCCTCCGCCCTCGAATCAATTCTGATTCAGGATGCCCTTCATCTGGTTTCAAGGGATGTCAGTATTTACGGGAGTAGAACGCCTCCTCTTTCTCCCACAGAGAACCTGGGGATTTCAAACCATCAACTTTTCAGTTAATAACTCACATAATATGCTGTACCAATAATTTTGGGAGCTCTGGTGGCCTCGTGGCAAGAAGCTGTGCTGCAGTCTCGAAGGAACACTGTTCAAGGCCACCAACCACTCGACAGAAGGATGAGTAGTCTCTTCCTGTGAGATTAACTGTCTCTGAAAATCCACTGGAGGGTCAATGATGGGTCAGTTCCAACTTTGCCATACACAACAATTACCACCACCACTCAGATAAGTCAACTTAAAGGAGCCTTGAGATGAAGAGGTGGCGGTCTGAGAAGGGAAAGATTACACTTCCTTGCTTGCTCCTTAGGGCAGTCTGTGACCAATAGGGGACACCTTGGCTATTCAAGAGGCAGACTTGTCTCAACATCACATCAGCCTTGCAGGGGGCTCTCCATAGATTAGGGTGTTCAAATAAGCTAGGTGTGACGACCAACAAAAATATTGTTACTCATTGCTGTCAAATTGGAATTGACTCATAGCTGACCCTCCTTTGGGTTCTGCAAGGCTGTAAATCACAAACAAGGGATTGCCCATCTTTCTCCCAAGAATCTGCTGTTGGATTAGAACCGCCAGGGCAGTGTGTCAGTTGGATTAGCATTGCAAACTCTTTCTGGACTGCACAAAGTTTAAAATGGTGTTAGAGGATAGAAGATAAATGTCTTGGCAAATGAAGCCAGTGTCACTTGTTTTATCCTGGGTCCCTCTGGTTCAGATTTCCCTTGTCCGTTTTAATTACTACCTGCAAGGTTTGCTCCTGAGAAGCCATGTGTTTGTGTAGGTTCATTCCTTTCCTGTAATCTTCTGTGTATCTAAAATAAACCTGGAATCCAGAGCAAGCGCAGTCTGGGTGGAGATGAAAGAAAAATGAGCGGATGGTTGTGTGTATTGGTGTGTACAAAGAGGCTTCCATTGTTATGGCAACCAGCATCCTCAACTGATGCAATCCTGTTCTCAATAATATGAGATGTGATTAAAAATTGACATTGCAGCCAGGGAGAACACATGTAATGCGTTGGCGTGGCAACCAGAATAGTTAGATTCTGCATAAACTTAAATCTGATGATCACAGCAATTTGGGGGATTTGCCCACAGTTAGGCATTTTTTCCCCCTCAGGCACCTACCTGGGTGGGAGTCAGGAGCCTGGAGGTCTTGACAGGGGGCCATGACTTGTAGGCGAGCCTACCCAAACCCAAACAGAGTTCTGGCACCTTCAGGTAGATGCTGTCTCATGATGACAATGAAAGACAAGGTAAAGCAGATTAAAAGGCTATCCAAGGATAAGGTAGAACTGATCCATGGACTGTCTCCTGTGCAAAGTACAGCCTCTGAAACTCACTGAGGGTAAGCTATGAGTCCGTTCCTATTTGGCAACATAACATAAATCTTAAGGGGTGCTAACGGCCAAATCTTTCACCCCAGGAGTGGCTACAAACCACTGATGTTTTGCTTAGTGTTTAAGCACTGTGCCGCCAGGGCTCCTTAGATGTTCACAGAGCGTCCACCGAACTAACATATTTCCTTCCCTCTCGGGTGGGGCTCGCAGTCTTTTAACTTCTTGAATTACACAAATCCATATATGAAGGTCTGCGCTGCCATCCCGAAGGCCCGCCGGGATACGTATACTAAAGAGTATTTTGTCAAACAAGGTGGTTTGGGCACTCAGAAAGGAGGTCAGTAAAACGGACAGAGAGAGGGGCAACGAATGGACAGAGAAAGGGGACCTTAGAAAAACAAGCCATGAAGGGTGTCACTCCCACTTGACCAAGGGAGAACTGGCGGAATAAAAGGAAAAGTCTAGGTCATATCACCAGATAGTGGCAATGGAGTCGCCGGAACCTAGGCACGGCTAAAGCCGCCTTTTACGCCAGAAGGGCGGGGACCAGAACCTGGCCGTCCTGGCTATGGTTTGTCTTGGGTACAGTTTGCCCTGGTCGCACGTGCCTTCGTCTTTTCCAAGGCAAGTTCCTAACCTTTCCAGGCTCTGCTTCAGGTGGGGCCACGCGCAGTGGGAAGACGGTGGGTGGGCAGCGAGGGAGCCCACATGGCTGGGGCGTGAATTGGGGTGCAAGTCCCGCCTCGCACCCTCAGCTGGGGGGCGAGGGTCCCGCGGGGCTCGCTCTCCAGTCGCCGAGGTTCCCGCGCCCCGCCGCGCGCCGCCGGCTGTGCCAGCGCCGGAGGAACCTCACTGCGCCTCGCCCGCGCGGACACCAGCCCCGGGGGAGATGGAGCGGTAGGCCCCCCGGAGCCGCGGCCTGGCAAGCAGACGAGCGGACGCCGGCGGCGCAGGACCCCCCCCTCCCCGGGCCCGC